GGAGGAGGAGGAGGAGGAGGAGGAGGAGGAGGAGGAGGAGGAGGAGGGAGAGACGCCGGAGCCTGCCTCGCCTCGGCCGCGGCGCGCGGCAGCCTGTGATGTTGTGCGCGCGCGCGCGCGTGCGGCGAGAGCACCGTCTCCGAGGGACGGAGGCCCGCTCAATCAGCAACCGCTGCAACTAGAGGCCTCCCAGATGGGGTCGGAGTAGATGGGGTCGAAGGACCGCGCCGCATCGGTGATACTCTGGCGATGCGTCGGCGATGCATCGGCGACGTTGGCGATGCATCGGCGACGCCAGCGAAGAGAAAATCGGGCTCCGCATCGAGCCGCATTAGCGATGCATGGGCGATGCGGCGCGATCCTCCGACCCTATCTACTCCGACCCCATCTGGGAGGCCTAGAGCAACGGGGGGCTCCCAAGAGGCCCCCGAATTCCTCCCCAGAGGCCCCCGAGAGCCTTCCGAAGAGACCCTGGGAAGCATCTCCCTGGCCCACGTCAGCGTTGGCGTCGTCGCCGCCGCCGCCACCGTTGTCGTCGTCGTCCCCCTTCAGGCTCGGCCGCACCCGCCGTAAGGCCTTCGCAATTTGCTCTGTAGCAACCGCTGCAACGGGAGCTACATGTTGCTGATCCAGGAGTGCGACCAGCGCTGCGGCGAGAGCGTCTTGGACGAAGGCCCCGTGGAAATCCTGAAGCATGTCGCACGCTCTGTGGCAGGAACACCGCTCTTGCTGATGCAAAAAGCAATCAACAATGCGGCGGGAGCGATCTTCCGTTGGATGGAGGCTCGACGGGAATCCTCAAATCTGGCCAACGCTGCAGCCACAGAAGAACTTCTGATGAGACGAAGAAGCGCTGACAGGATAAATCCATGTGAACGGCAATCACATGTGGGCGATCCTCTGTGAAAAGCCATCCACGGGATAGGCGGGGCAACCACGGACATGGCTGGGTAGAAAGGATGGAAGTACGTACCTATACATATACAAAACGTATATGTACACTGATTGTAGCTGTTGAGGCGGGAGAGGGAGGGAGTAT